CAACTATGAAAGGAAAAACGGGCAGCAAGTTTCGCTTTGCAAACAAAATCAGCTGAGATAATAAACTGGAGCGATGCAGAGCTCTAGGAGCTTCTCGCCATTAGAGCTGGAGGTCAGATCATCAGAGGCTGCACAGGGACTGTGGAGGACAGCTGCCTTTTGGAGTAGCTCGTAAAAAAAACCTCAAGGAGCTCAACTTCGAATCGTGATAAAAAGCAAGTTATGACCAAGATAAACGGAAGTCCGCAGCAGCGCAGAGACCAACTCAAAACCCGCTTTATACCGCCATTGTGTAATCTTTTGTAAAAAGGACACGATTGCGCAACATTACCGTCATGGTCTGACCATTTATAAACGACCTAACGCTCCCTGATGCCACCATGGCGTTGCAGCAAATTGGCAGCATTCTTTTCTACAAGGGGCTAAAGAGCATTTTGCAATGTCACAACTTATTATTCTTATCCTCAAGATATGCTCCATTATGACTTTGATGAAATTAAGTCTAATACAACGTATAAAAATCTGATGATGTAATATTAGAATTAATTAAAAACACATAAGTAATGTTGTGACACTTTGGTCAATAGAAAAAACATTGCAAAAAGCTGTATAATTAGCAGCCAGAAATGATTAAAATGTCGTTAAATACATTTCTGTTAAAAACTCATAAGTACTAGTGTAAAATCATTCTTGTACAATTGCTAAAACAGGTAATCAGGAGAGGCAAAACCTCTCCCAGAGGACTAATCTGTATATATTGTGTTGCCCTGATCCAGAATATCATAAACTAAACCAATCTTGTGGATGAATGCATTCAAGTTATATCTCAAAAATGCAATGAGAGTAAAGCTAGTCTTGCAGGAGACATTCAATCAGAAACCAGGTTGATATTCAGGTAGTTACTGAGTCGTTTAGATTAGGTGTCACTAATGTTTTAGCCAGTCAGCAGCCATACGATGCATGCATAGGTGCCATCACAAAGCTGCTGCACGTCACTGATGCATCATAATTAAAATCCTTCCATATTTGCTTTATTCAAGTTCAAGAGGGATAAACAAGCACAAGACTCTGATTTCATGACAAAGAAAAAAAGACAACATCCCATTAAACTGCGTAGAAATAATTTATACAACAACGTGGTATTAAAAGGGATATTTTGGGTTTGAAGATGACTTTTTCTGCAAATGAGATTTATAGTTGGACAATGAAAGCTTGCTGCAGGACAAGATCAGGTTTTTTAAGACAGTGAAGAACCTTTCTGCTCGAGGCGATGTGCGAATGACAGCGGTAGGGTGAGGATTCAACATCAATAATCTTTCATCAAGTCCCACAATGGAGCATTTCAGCACAAATACTATTCAATAAACAACTGTAGGCCATCATTTAGGTCTGAACTGGCCAGAGAGTGGAGGATAACATCAGGATGACAGGATGGAAATGGAGATTTAACAGTTACCATAGAAAGAGATATTATGAAATATCATGATCTACATACAAATTAATTCCTCTGTTTTATTTACAATAAAATGATATTGTATGTTAGCAACTCATATAAGCTTTGGTTTGTTGAAGTGCGCCCCACAACTAAATTTGAATTGATTTTAGAAAATGGAAAACAAACAGGCTGAATGTGGTTAGTTAAATAAATAAACAAATAAACAACACAAAAATGGCTAACATTCCATAAAAGCAACATTTCTTATTTAAAGATATTGGCCAGACTTGGCATTAAAACTGTACCATCTACTTTAACATCTATATAAATATGAACCAGAAGGAAGGAAGGAATTTTCCCAGAAATCATTATAGAAAATCAAGATTCTCTCCTCCAGACAGTGAAGAACTGTTTTGCATACGTCACTCAAACATGTCAAACAAGGATGCTGCTGTTGCTAGTACATTGTGAATAGCTGTATTTTGTTTACAGTCAGGCTCTCAATTATTACGAAAAATTGCGTTGGCAGCTGCAGCAAGAGGTCTGAGCCATATGCCTGAGTCCTAAACGCATTTTTAAACAACACAGGTCTGATCTAAAATAATAACCTACATCTATAAATCCATCTGGAACCTCACCGCTCCTTCTGGACTCCAGCAGGCGAGTCCCGTTAGCATGACTGCAGCAGCACTGCTAACAGTGTTAGCTTCGGTTAGAAAAAAACAAGTCATTTGGGAAATGTACCACACACACACACACACACACACACACACACACACACACACACACACACACACACACACACACACACACACACACACACACACACACACACACACACACACACACAGAGATATGAACTAAAAGATGACTCCCATATTTCAACAATAGATCCTCCTGGGTCCAGCAGAACCTTTGTGCCATCCTGGATTAGTGCAAAAACAATGAGCCAAACTAGTGAGATACTCCAGCACCAGGAAGACTTATTCTGGTAAACTATTGGTTTAACACACGCAGCAGTAAAACTGGCAGCTCATTATTTTATTTATCTGTAGATTAGTGAAGGATACTGGGACAGTATGATGGAGCTAAGACCAATAGTCAGCTGAGAGCTCCAGGTGTACATATTGTATATGAAATGAAACATTTACAAAAGTAAACAAACCGTACAGATGTTGGTTCTGAAAACTAACAGAATCCTCCTCAGTGTTCAAATCGTGTCACGAGTCTTCTGAGTCAGTCTCAAACATGTCTGCACCTCCGGTAGTGATATCTAGCTAGCGGAGGTCAGAGTTTGGTTGAACTTCTCCAGTAAGAATTCTGCTGTTGTGTCCTTGGGCAAGACACTTAACCCACCTTGCCTGCTGGTGGTGGCCGGAGGGACCGGTGGCACCTGTGCTCGGCAGCCTCGCCTCTGTCAGCGCGCCCCAGGGCAGCTGTGGCTACATCATAGCTCATCACCACCAGTGTGTGAATGTGTGTGTGAATGGATGAATGATACACTGTAGTGTAAAGCACTTTGGAGTCCTTACTCTGAGAGGTGCTATACAAGTGTGGGTCATTTATCATTTAATCCAATATCCGTTCCTGTAGACATATCCCAGAGAAAAAAAACAAATCTGACGACTAGCAGCGGCTTCAGAAGCTACATCTGACTGATGGCACATTGTTCTCTGCTATAACGCTTTTCCTAGGTGCGCGTTGCGTAAATTTTGGGCCGTGCGGAGGCGCGGTGGAGGGGCGTGGTTGTTAAAATGACGCAATATCGCCACGCGGAGCCATGCGGACGTGTCAAGCATAAATGAACCTTAACGCAGAAACACTGGAGTTGGGGGTTGTTTACTACAGCTGTTTGAGCAGACCTCCTTGTGAAACGTCACCAGCTGCCCAGGGCTAAGACCGGAAGCTAGTTTCTGTTTTTGCCGCGCTAGTCAAAAACATCAGATTTTCTCAAAAATCCAGCCGTGAAAATCCAAAAATCTTTTTTTATCTGAGGTTTTAATACTTATTTACACATGCCGTTCAAAGGAATTTTGCCTCTGGCCAATATCTTTAGGTATCTGGTCAGTATCTTTAAATGTATTTTAACCAAACTTGAAACAAAACATTAAAAATTAGTACTTTAAAAACCTGCTCTCAGGTCAGTGCAAAAGGAAATTCATTGTGATGCTATTTCTAATATTAATGCATATAAAAACCTAAGTGATAGCTGGGGATAGCATTGTAACACAGAAGAACCCCTAGTGGCTGGCTGCAGTACACATTTTAAGTCCCGCCCCCTTCATGTAAACAAACTGGCATTTTTTCCCATTAATGAAAAGTAAAAATGCAGCTCATGTTGTTTTTCCAGGAGTTAGGTCTCATTTTTTATAATGCTGCTACCACATATTGAAATGTTACTTTTTCTAACACATTTACCTGTAAATCCGTACGGATGAGCAGAATGCACAGATGATACCTCCCCAAAAATAACATGGCAGCATTTAAAATGGCTTCACTTGTCAACAATAGAAGTAGAAAGACATTTTTTTTACAATCACAATATTATTTTATAGAAAAAAAGTTTGAGGAATAACTTATTAGACGCCATATAAAAGAAGTACAATCAACTCAAGTAAATATGCAATTTTGTCTGATAAATACACTCCTCACCCTTAAATATGAAACCAACAGTCTGCTTTCAAAAAGCAACACCAGGAAACTTGAAACATTAAAGAAGAAACAACCTTCGAGTCTCTTTTCACTTTTCTTATGAAAGTTCCAGAGCTCAGATGCCACCAGGGAGACCCTGCAGCCAGTCTTCTCTGTGACAGACAGAGTGATGACCCCGGTCTGTGTGATGGATAGGTGACAGGCTAACTTTGGACCCCCGGGCCCGCCTGTCAGGGTGGGGTTTAACCGTCATGGTGTGCTTAATTACCTGCACAGCCACACAACAGGTCATTAGTCAGACTGGGACACTGGGTCCCACCTGACCAGCGAGGGATAAAATAATCCTCCCAAATTAAAATTAAAGGATAAAAATAAGAATTGGTGAATCTACTTGTTGCATCACATGTTGTTATACTCTAAAATGTACCAATAACACAAATCTGTTGTTAAAGATGTGGACTCGTTTCTAAAATCTTGATTTGATTAGCACTTACATGCTAAAAATGTACAACTTTAACAAGTCTGAGCATTTATCAGGTAGGTGAGAAATACTGTCCTTCAAGCCACTCCTTTTTATGAATTACAAAGTTCAAGCTGCAGAACTGGAGATTTATTTGATACCATGAAAAGAAAAGAAGGATGAACTGCAGAGGACAAGCTCTGATCTAACATATAGTGTGAACAGTGTGCACAGGATGAATAAAAGACATAAAACTGTGTTTTTGACTCAGTAGGCTGACATTTACGGCCCCCCGGTGCTTCTTATGGAGCATTTTGTGGTGTGAACTGCCTCTGCTGAAATGTGGGTGGCTAATAAATGGCAGCTAATGGAGAGAAGACGGCGCTGTCTTCTCCTCCTATAATCTCTGAACGCTTCATTAGGTAGCACCTTGATTTGCTGAATTGTGCTAACCTGGTGCTGTCGTTCCCCGGCTTGGTGTATCCCTCCAGAGCGCCCTCCCACACACTGTTGGCCATGGCATTGCCGATTGCTGTCATCACCATGCTGAGCTCCACCGGCCAGTCATCCAGGTCTAGGGAGCGCACGCGGGACAGGTGGGTGCCCAGGTTCCGGTGGATGCCTGAACACTCGATGCACATCAGGGCACCCAGGTTCAAACTGGCCCAGTCTGGGTCTGTGGGGCGGACAGACGGAGGATTAGAACAAGCTTTAATGGTGTTTTCAGGAAAACAGTCAGGTACACATTAACAGGTTCTATGTACCACATGCGATTGATTATTGCGTTAGATAAATTAAAACCAGGTCCCTTATGATGGATCTAGGATTTGGTCACTGATGGGTACTAAAAGTATAAAGAAAACATATTGCTAGTCACACATGTTTAAGACAATTAATTATTGATAAGTGGCCACTTCTTACAAAGTAGAAAATCCACACCTAAGGGGTTATTCTCTCATGAACTTACCATAAAACACAATCATATTAAATTTATCTGCTGGATAGTTATATCAGCCTCCCAATATTATTGACTGATTATCAGAAATGATCAGTATCGGTTTTTACTGTTTAGATTTATATCATATCAGAAATTAATAGTTAGACTATTGGTTAAAGAAGCCGACATTGAACATCCCTACCTAAAACCACAAATAAACACAATTTACACTTTGATAAATCAGCTGATTGGGTAAAATCTTATGCATTTAATTTGATTTGAGGTTAAATAAACACCTCGCCTTCTTCTGAGCGAAATTCAACAACCACTCACGTCAAGATCTTCAATGGTAGGGAGGAAAAACATAAAAGAACCTAAAAAATCCCATAAAATTACCGTTTCCTCTCCATTCATCAGCATGATAGTTTGAGGAATGTACACATTATCATATTTTATATTTTTATAGATAAATGAAAGTTTTTTAGTCATGGATATTATGGCTCTATGGGCATCATTTTAAAAATAGGAGCTACAGCTGCAAATAATGCAGGTTTTGTTCAATAATTTCTACCAAAACAGCAGCAGTAAAATAATAAAAAAATACTTTTTTGAACAAGTTTTGTTTGTTACTGGATTTTAACTTGACAAAAGATGCTTTTATCCCCCTTCAAACGTATATATAAATATTTACAGTAGTTTTTCTGACGGTTTGCTGTTATACTCACTGGGTGCATCACAGTCCACACAGAAGCTGTTCCCCCTCACGTTCCTTATGGACTGAATGGCCATTGCATCACTTTGGCTCCCTAACCGAGACTGCAAGAAATTGGGGAGAGAATAAGTCAACAGAAACTAATTATTTCAGCATGAAGGCAAACAATTATAGCTGGACTCAAAACACAGATAACCAGCGAGGAAGAAGACGAGCTTCCTTCGAAGGCTTTAGAAGAAGTCAGACGCAGGAAAAATATGAATATGAAAATGAGGCTGTGTCTCCCCAGCATGCAGACACGAGCCGTGCTCTATCTCAGATGTCTGTCAGTTCTAATAAGAGATCCCCCACACTGCGGTGCACCTGTCTGACAACCTCCCACATGTCATAGGTTGAAGTGGGTGAAGAGGGAAGGGGGTGCAATACGTGTGGAAGGGAGGAGGATAAGAGGATTGGGAAAGAAGCTGCAGAGTTGTAAGAGAAGACAACTGCTCATCCAGTTCCCTTCTGTTGATCATTTATTTTACTCTACCTTGTTCTTGATGCTCTCACATGACTGCAGGCTGGCGAAGATCTGGCTCTCGATAGCTTGGACCCAAAGCTCTCTCTCCTCGTACGTAGAAGCTTCAAAGTTCCACGTCTGACCCGTCAGCGACACAATAATGAACTCGAAGGAGTCTTCTTGTTCTGAAAAAAAACCCAAAAGTGATCAAAGAGATTATAGCCAAAATTGAAAATAAGAAATGGTCATGAGTTATTTAGGTTAGCCTAATAAAAAAACAAAAAATCAGAACCAAAGGCACAGGTGCACATTGACACGACACCGGCACGTATGTGAGTCGTGCAACTTCAGTCCACATTTCAAAAGTGTGTGTTTATTCAAAATGTGTAGGAATAATTTCATGTGGATTGGACCCATGAAAAGCCCATAAACCCTTTAACACCAGTAGGGAGAGCATGTTTTAGTTCCCACTGAAACCTGCAAACCATAAAATACTAAAACGACAAAAAAAGTATTATAAAGAACATCAAAGAAAATATCATGGGGTTGTTATTATTACTCTACAAGTATTGATGCAAATTATCTATGGTTATTGTTATTGTGTTATTGAGTGTGACCGGAGTTAATAGAAGACACCACATTCCACCGATGTTACAATCTCTTCACTGGTTGCCGGTTCAATTTAGGATTAATTTTAAAATTCTTCTTGTAGTTTTCAAGTCCTTGAATGATCAAGCCGCTTCCTATCTGAGTGTGTTGCTCCACCCCTACCACCCTCCTCGTGCCCTCAGGTCTGCAGATCAGCTCCTCCTCACTGACAAGGCACGGTGCAAGACCCGCGGTGAACGGGCCTTCTCCATACGTGCATCAAAACTCTGGAACTCTCTGCCCCTCCAGGTTAGGCAAGCACCTTCAATCGCTGCTTTTACATCTAGTCTGAAAACGCACTTCTTCTCCTTGGCTTTTCCTCCATCCCACTTGGATTGCTCAGTTTTATATTTGTGTATTTTATGGTCCCAATTGCCTGTTTGGTTCGATTTTTAGTTCTTTCTTTAGGTCTATGTGATTATTTAGCTTGTTGTAACTGTGAAGCGCTTTGGTCAGCTGGAACTGCTGTATTGAAAGAGCTCAACAAATAAAATGGCATGTGAATACACCTGCTGGTGTGAATAAAACAAGTCAAAAGACTATTAAAATGTTTATATTTTATTTGCATGATGCATTTTTTAAAATCAGTTTCTATGGTATTTCAGAAAGACCAAAGGGATATTTGAACTCAAACTGCAATAGAAGCTTTGCAAGAAAATCCAAGAAATAAAGCAAGCAAATGATGGTTTTGTATTTCATACATTCTAAAGTAGTTTTTAGCCCAAATAAGATAAAAATATTGAATATTAACAGCGATTCCCTTTTATTCAGCATCTACTTCTGTTGACAATAATTCTAACATTCACATCGCAAAGTTCAAACTAAATAGCTGCAATCTGTAAACCTTTGCTTTTCATCCGTCTTCGCCCAAACAAACAAGTTTCCTTTATTTTGAACCAACTTTATCCACCAATTCTTTGTGTTGACTACGATTTATGGAAATGTCACCTGATGTTTTCAGTGAAGACTTCTGACACAACATATGTTCCAACACATGCTGTAACGCCTCTGCTGATCAGAAGCAATTCATTAACTCTACAGTACAAAGTGACTCGTGACTCGTGTAACATCTCTGGTCTCTGCACATGCTTCAGCTCATTGCCAAATGATTTGTAATTACCTAATTATGTCTATGCAAATACTGCTCTCGTTTGCATAAACTACGTTTGGGGGACTGACGGCAAAAAGACGCACGAGGTTTGTGTTTTACTCTGGAGCTCTGATCAACCATATTTAGGTTTTTCAAGCAAAACAGTTAGCATAATTAATCAATGAAAGAGCATAAAAGCTATGAAGCTGCAAACTAGTCTGACATTTGATGTAAAACAATTAAATTAGCGCTACATAAGTTTAAAAAAATGCCCGCAGAAACATGAAGTAAACAGTGGCAGACTAATTATCAGATTAAAGGTATCACTTTTTTATTTACAATCAATTTACCCTCCTTGTTGCACGACACAGTCGTACGCCGGTAAATGACAGATGTGCGTTGGATGACTCCAATACTGCAATCCTTGTGCTGCAGGAGAGGGCCATTTCTTCAGGGCTAAAGCAATAATCCAATTAGCTCGACACTGACTTCAATTATCTGATTTAGTTTGCGGAATCGACTTCAGGTCACAGAGAATCAATAAGGACTTCGAAGCCTCTTTATTTAGACTTAAAGCAAAAAAAAAAAAAGCCTGTGTGTGTGTGTGTGTGATATTTTTAAGTACTGATGGGATAGAGGATGGAATCAAATAGTTTAACTTCAAATACAACTAAAAAAATGTAAAAGAAGGTCTTTAAATGTATTTTTCTTTAAATTTTACTTTTCCAACATACCTACTGGTACAATAACTAAAGCATTTGATTAGGATTTGTGATTCTAAATGTTGGAAAACCTGAACAAAGCTAATTATTCTGTTGGCTGCCCAGGCAATAAATTAGAGGCATTAAAACACTTTCATTATGGAGATTAAAAAAGCAATGGATGGCTGGTTTCTTTAACTGATGAGTGTACGAGACAACACAAATTCTGTACAACACGTGAAACATACAAAAGATGGTGATGAAATGCAAGAACGTGCAGCCAAAATGCCTCAGAGCAACATATGATGTTAATAAATGTAGCTCTAGCACAATGACAAGCCATTTATTGATTTAAACGGGGCGTAATGTCAGCAGGTATTTCATGATCTGATCATAAACACCTGAAATGATCTGCTAATGAAATAAATTGTTGGTGTTTTTGTTACCAATCAGCTGTGTCAGTTAGCATGTAGCTAGCCAAGGACATGCACATCAGCATTAACCTCCTGAACACATCTTCACCATGCTCTGATCTACAAGTTCTGGCCAATTAGAAACACATTAACATGGACGGAGGATGAGGGGGAGCACACTTCGAAGCCAATGGAGGCGCCGACTGTGAAGAATGATGAAAATATGAATTTCCTTAATTAAGGTGGCATTATAAAAAAAGAGGGAATTATAGTGTAATGGCTGCAGAGCCACAAAAGGGAGAGGAACACATTAAGACGCACATCTCTGTCCAACACTTACATGGATCATAAAATTTTTCATGAAACACCTCAGTTACACATGTTGTTCATCTGCTCCTTGATTGCTTGTTGGAGTGAAAAAAAATCACATTTTATTGGAGGAGAAATCTGTTTGAGATGCAAGGAAGTTTAGGAAAATGATGTATACTGGCTGTTGCAGAATAAAAAAAATATTGCCTTAAAGCTGGGGTACGTGGTTTACATGTTTTTAAGTAACTCAAAATATGCTTAAAGGTGCAATATGTAAGAATGAAGTAAGAAATGACAGCTTGTGGTAACTTCCTCAAAGACGAGCAATACCTAGTTAGCATTTATTGTAGTGTGTTTATAATGGTGGAGCCTCAGAAGAAACACAGAAAACATGCGATGAAGCTAAAATAAATGTCCGAGCACAATAGGAGTGAAAGAGTAAACATCGGAAGTTTTCTTAATCGTGAGAGCTCAGAGACTTCATTCCTGCATGTTTTAGTTGATTTTGTGACGAACCGCTCCTGTAGAAACTAATGAAGGCAGAGGAGAGATTTCAGTCGTTAGATTAAGGTGTTACAAATACGAGCACAAAGCAAGGGGGAGAGTTTCAGTTTTGTTTTCACTAGGGGGTGCTAAAAAAAAGCCCAAACTGCTTAGTTTCTCTTTAATCAACAGGTAGTAAAGCTTTAGTTCTCAAAGTTTAGCTGATTTTCATTTCTCTAATTTCACCTGTGCTATAAGTCGTATCTTTATCTTCTACTTTAATTTCGCACTAGTCTCACACAGGAAAGGGAGCAAGATTTCCCACCAATCAGCACAGGTACTTATTTGACCTAAAAATCAAACTGGAACCTGATCCAGCAGAGGCTGACCTGAGGACAGTGATTCCTCTTTTGCGTTGCAGGAGTAGCAGATGCGCCGAAGAGGGCCTGTGGACCAGATTAGCACCTCAGGGGGTTTGAAGCTGGGCCCAGCTGTGTTGTCTATGAGGCAGACTACAACAATCTACTCTGTCTAAGCCTCCTAAAGCCCTCTGGATCTTGGTGTGACGAACCCTCTCAAAGGACTCAACAGACAGCTCTTCACCTTGAGGAGTTCAGGTTTGATTCATTCGTATGAACGCTCGGCTGAAACGGTGACAAGGTGCAGGACGTGAGGTGAGCTATTGTTTTCCTGTGCCCGGTGTGTTGTGCGGCGTCGTATGCATGCGTCAGGCAGTCACTTAAAGAAGTGCTCGCCGTTCCCGTGAATTAACGAGCAGTTGGGAAGAACAGGCCAAGGCGGTGCCATCTGTAAATGTCACAGGCACTGCTTGCTCATTTTACACATCATTAAAGCCAATATTCCTAACCTGTATCAGAGCAATCAGGAGCAGGCCATTACTGCGACAGGGGCCCCGAGGGAACCACGACCAAACTCGGAAAGAAAAGAGCAGCAAGGAAGAGAGAGAAAGAGAGAGAAAGATCACACTATCTCTCTGACACACACATCTCTGCACACTTTTACATGTGTACACCCAAGCAAGCAAAGAGCACAACTTCTAACAACGAACAAACACGTGAAATCAGTACCAACATCAGCGCGCTAATAGCTAGTGCATTAACAACAGCAAAGATTGGAAACGGGGCCAATTATACGAGTATCTGTGGGCAGTGTGTATAGAGCCCAAATGAGAATCTTGTTATTCTTTTCCCTCCATACTGTGGTGCTCAGAAAGCTAAGCCATTACAAGAATGGAGGCTCCAGGGACAGCTTTGGGAAATGAGAGTGAGTCTGGGAGTGACAAAACAAAGTATTGAGACAAACACCCACCATTAGCACAGGCAGTTAAACCTCCATTTCCTAATCCTCAGCTGGACTCCAGAGGATATTAACCCTTAGTTTACTAAGGTGCAGGACAATAGGATACCAGATTAGGCTGGAACATCCATGTGAACTAAGCACATCCATATAGTGTTGTTTTTCTGCTGATTTAAATGCTAAGACCAAGTAAAATACAGAGAAAGACCAAACACACACCTATAAGAGTTTGAAAAGTCAGTTTTGCAAAAGCCCAAAACAAAAAACAAACTGAAATGTTAACGTGCACTATCTGCTTGCTTTTAGGTATGTAGTCTCCTCACTAACAGTTTTAGGTCAAAAATCACATGACCTGTTTTTGGGAGGAAATTCTGTTTTGTCCAACACAAAAAGATGACAGTAACTGTTTTTCCTTAAAGCTTTTTTATTTTTATTTTTTTGGCTTTAAAAATCAAATGCCTTGTTTTTACAAATATGCTCAAATTAGCACCAAATCTAATTTTATTACTACTAAACTGTCTACTTTGACTCCTTTCATATGACTTTAACTGTGAATTGGAGAGCAATAAGCAAATAACCTGAATTGAATTTAAACTTTCTGAGTTCCTTTGCCCTTTTTTTAGCACTCCTAACACTAAAACCATTTGAATTACAAAAAGGCGGTCAACAGTGGCTTAATGAATATGTTATTTTTGAAAAAGCACGGCTTGACCAGCAGGGTGAAGAGAGACTGTCTCAATGCTAAATTTTTTTTAAAGAAAAATGCATAATGTGCTGAAACATGTAAACATAACTGTAAAATGAGTATCGGAAGAACATTTACATCTTATGTATTAGGGATGGACTATTTATCAGTATAAATATCGGTATCGGCCGATGTTAGTCATTTTTTAAACATATCAGTATCGGTACGATATTAACAACCAATATTTTTTCCATCTCGTCTCCATTTGTCTGTCTGTTTCAGAGGGTGAGAGGGGTGATGTGTATTTGTTTAGTCATGTGAACAGTGATTGTAATCATCTCAGAAGCATAAATGTGTGTGTTATGTGTACATAATAATGTAAATTCAGCTTTAATAGTTTTTATTCTATACAAAATCTGCTGATTTTAGAAGCATCAACCCTCTGATGCATGAATTATGAAATCTTCAACCATGATTTTTTAAACAATTTTTTTCATTCATCTTTAGGTGTGAATGAAACAAATTTCAACAAATATTTTTGTAACATTTTGTTAATTTACAAATAATTTATTACATGTACATCTCAGTGGACAGCGTGTATTCTGAACATGAAATATGTTGGCTTGGCTTACTGAAGTCCAAATGGAGGGGCTCACATGCAATAAAGTCTTCAACAGCTGTGCTTAATAGCAAAAATAAAGAAATAACAATTTTGAGTACCTGTCCACTGTAGTGACCATTATGCATCAAAGGGTTAATGTCAGAATATCTGTATCAGCAAATATCGGTTATTGGCCATAACAGTGAAATTAATATTGGATATCGGTATCGGCTTATAAACACCATATCGGTGCATCACTACTCTGTATGTAAAACACCGAGTCTAACCCCTGCAGCTCAGGCGTAGGGGCGTAATCTACTGTTCTTTTAAACACCCAACTGCACAGCACTGGGACCAATCAGAGCAATGAAAACCTTGATATAGTCATAGTGATGGAAATCAGTCAATGGAGCAGTCCGCCATACACCATAGATGTAGGAGCAAATACATCCTTTTGGAAATAAATGACTCAAATACCTCCATCTGCTTATGTCTAAAGTTGATTCCAAAGCCATTTCTAATGAGCGCCTACCCTGAGTCACCGCCATTGTTGTTGTGCTCTGTCGCAGCTCTGGCGTCACTGCTTTAACGGTACTCAGCCCGCCCAACATCTCTACAAACAGAGCGCCGTGACTGACCCAGCCAGTGGTAGACCTGTTGAGGCTATGGCACGTGACTAGATGACCTGCAGGGCAAATGTTTACTGCTACTGCTGCAGTTCATCAAGATTTCTAGTTTAGCTAAATACTGCACTTAAATAGAGTCTGATAAAAAAAAGATAGAATTAATTATAATGTCAGATAAAATATCTGCCACATCTGTCCATATTAGCTTGTAACCAGTTAAAATGGTTAAATTATTATCATTTATTTTAATTCAGATTTTTCATTGTTCACCAGATGTTTTCAGGTGTTTGTGTAATGATTACTACTACAGAATATACCTCCCATCTTAAGCCTTGTACCTTGTTTATGGAGATGTTCCTGCTAAGAAAGAGATGTGAAAACCCTACGATTGAGATTTTAACGCTACAAACAACTTCCTGTTATTTCAGTTAAGTCTTTATGTACGCGTCCCTTTCACACCTCTACAGACTCAATCCACTCAAAACAACGTATCAAAGCTTTTGAGCACAGATTTACTAATTCATTCTTACATGAATCATATTAAAATGCTAATTTTAATGATGCCGTGTTTGGTCGGTTTGTTCTTTTCAGCGTATGTTTTTACTTCTTCTCTGAAATACAAAAAATAAATAAACTGAACTACAATGAGGACTGACTTTAACTGTAATGTGAGGACCTCCACACCTTTGGACACTAAAGCCACTCAGGTCCATCATTAGCGCCGCTCGTCTCCCTAATTTCCGTGACCTCGGCGTGCATGCAAAACTGGGAATCCACGGGAATGTCTTATCACAATCTTCCTCCATCGCTTCACTTTCCGTTTTCCGTCTCACGCCAAACCCTCCAAAACAACGAGCCTTTGATACTATTTTTTAAAAGAAAAATACATTAATGATGCTCCTTGACAGTCTGCATTAATCAGAAGGGCTCCCCCTGAACACAAGTCTTTATCGGCCATCGATTTTCCAGTGGGTTTATGGCGAGCGACACACGGCGAGAGCTCGTCGCCAAGCGGCTGCTGGGAAACACATTACGGGGCTGTCAGTTGTCTCGCCATGCATCCTGCATCATTCTTTAAGCACATGAGAAGTTCATTACGCCACACGGCTCTGACAGTGCTGAGCGTATTAGAGGCTGTGTCCTCCGAGTGGATTCTTGATGGAAAAGGAGTACACTGGACATCTCGGCCTTTATCCAAATGGTGGTAGATATGGTCAAATTTCTATCTCTCATTTATATTTATTGCATAAAACTCGAGTTTGTTAAATGCGCCTTGATTACTCCTCCGCTTTAGCAGCTTTGCTGCAAAGTCTTTCCGTGTGCTGCAGGGGCAAATCTGAAAATGATGCAGCAACAGTTTCTGCAGCCTTACGTCCCACGTTGACCAAAATGATGTCTCACCTTAAAAACTCTCACGCCGTTTTGATTTATGATGCCTCACAACTACTAAAATTCAATTTCAGCCTGCAGTGCATGCTTCTGATTGCCCCGTAAATGAGATAAACTGATAGCAATTTATTCAAGGATCCCACCTCTCCTCTCCTCCTCCTCCTGTTTCCCCTGAACAGGAGACGCCGCTCCCCACCGCAGGACTGGGCAAATCCAATATTTAAGCGATACGTCGGTATTCCGGAGCGTTCAGCAGAACAGACGTGCTGATACTAATAGAAAACCTCAGGGAGAAACGACGAGATGGATAGAAAACAATGTGCATGTTTGATGATGTGAGAAACATTCGGAATCTGCCTCCTCCTGTCTGATTGCTCCCAGACTTCCTCCTTAAGAAGTCCAGGAGTAAACAGATAGTCACTGACGAGGTTTGATAATGCCAGCTGTCACTCAGAAAACTTCTTTTTTTTTCCTATTTTATTTTATGTGGCTGTAAATCCTGTCAGAAAATGCACATTAGCAGTAAAAGATGCCGAGATCTGTACACACATAGGGCTGCAGCTCACAACTTACTGTCAGACATAAACGCTGAACCCAGAACATTTAACCCAGTATGACAACCAAAACAGGAGTGGAGATCATCTTGTGCAATAAAAACGGAGCAGCACTTATCTCACACCGCTTATCACTGTGATGCTGATGATGTTCCCTCCATACAACAATGTGGTCAACAGACCCTTTCAGACTTTAAAGAGAAGCTGTCAGAGAGCGGGATAAAAAAGTATAATGATTATAAATGCTAAGCCCCATTTAGGAGGCGTCAATGCCATTGTTGTTGTTATCCAGCGTATCAATCTTGTTGATTGATCATCCTGCTCTCGTGACATCAGTTTTATGGCCTCTGAAATGCGCCTCAGTGTTTTCACAATGCCATCCAATTAGGGCGCTCCATTCATCATTGGGCTGAGGAATCATTATTAATTGGGTGGAGAGCCGGCTGCCACTCCCCTGCTGGGGACGGCCACATTCACTATTCATACAACAGTAAAATAAATTGGGGCTGCGCAGGGGGTCTGCGCGGAGACACTAAACAACACACCTTTATGTGCATCATGCACACACACAGTCAGAGTTTAGATGATTACATGAAGGCTTCTTTTTTTGGACTTTTTTTTCCCGGTAAAAGTGTGAACAAATTTGCAAAAGTGCCGTTTTGTGGTTAAAATTAAATAAAAGTTTAGATAGTTTTTAATTTACTTTGTGTTTTAAACACAAATCTACTCCTGTCTGGGGTAGTAGTGAAAGTTTTTATCATTTCAAACCAAATATTTGTTTTCTCCTACCATCATTTCCTGCAGATAAGCCATCTGGCTTTGTGATGCCTGTGCTCTTTTTCCGCCTGTGTTTCTTGCGGTTGGCGTGTGGAGAAGGAGGTGGCTCCAGTTTCGGACTCGTGGCGCTGCCCATGCTGGAATTTGCCGGATCATTCATCCCGTTTGCTGAAGAAAAACAGAACAAACATGTTATTTAATACTGTAGATATTAGTTTTTTAGAATCACAGCTACAATGTTGGGCTGTTGATTTAATTATTATTGAAAACACACAAAGAACGTAGCAGGAATTCCAGTTCTCTTACTTCATTAAACTTTTTCTGTGCACCCTAAACAATTTCAACAACCAAAGAAGATGAGATATTTTATTTAGAAATATTTTAATTGAAACATTGTGTTAGAAATAATCCAAAGCCGTTTATTACAAGACATTTTGTGCATGAAGAAGAGCTAAATAATGTGATTATGTTTCATGACACACAGCTGGATGTGTGAATATTGAAATTAGACGCAGATGAAATAAAGAAAAAAAAATCACCTGAGTTTGTAAATTTTCGCTTTCTGTTCGCCCTTGGAGGAATATGGGTGCAGCAAATGTGAGTGTAAAGCTTTAGAGCTCCAAAAACGTTTGATTCTTTTTAAAGGATGGCAATAAGAACATCAACCAAAAAAATCTGATGGGGACTTTTTTTCCTGCCTACTTTTCCAGCGGAGAGTCCTGGAATGAACTGAAAAGCCTCAAATGAGTATGCAGTCTAGACTAATGACTATACTGTGTTTGTGCACATGCTTGTTTTTTAAATGCTTTGAACCATTGTGACAGTTGTAAGAGCAGTCACTATTTAGGATATGATAGCCTTGTAAACTGCCAAAGAGCTGAAAACAAATGATGCCATTAGAAAACTCATCGGGTACTGCATTCCTTACCAGTATGGGTGGCAACTAAATGCAAATTCGGCACACTTTTGTCTTAAATTCACACATGAAATTTGTGTGAGCTTAATACAAACTGCAAAGTTTTGTCCTTTGCCTCATATTTATGTTCAAAAGCTGCAGAAACAACAGTGACATTAATTAATGGTGAAAGCTGACGTGCACACTGGGAAGAGCTGAAATGTTTAAAAAAGAAAGTCCAGCTTCAGATGTTGTTAAGGGGGAGGTATGGAGCTGGGGACAAATGGTCACCTAAGTCAGCCTGTGGCAAAGTTCTCTATATGACTGTCTAAGAGTGACAGGGTGGGGGCGAAGAGCTGGCTCTGTTCCTCGTAAGTGATTTTATAAATGTGATATTAACCTGTGCTACCGTTGGGCAAAGGGACAGGAGGGATGGGAGGATAGGAGGGGGTTGTCAGCTTGCCATCCTTCTGATTTCCTGACATTTGACATCACTTTCCCTTCTTTCCCCCTCCGGATGCCATTAAGAGTTGGAGAGCGGGGGCCAGGGGCCTGGGGATAGCAGGCAAGGGGAGGGCCAGAAGATGGGCCCCATATTGCTCTGTTCTTACCACCCTGTGTGGGGCTGGCAGCATCCTCCATTGTCTCCCATCAAAAGCTCATTGTAGTGTAGTAAACTCCATTCATTTCCCTGTGCACCGTCCCAGCCCCAGGGGTGGGGTGCAGGAGGACAAGGGGCTCAGGGATTATTGCTGTTGTTGTTGCCAGTTGCACATGCTATAATGTGCGGCGCTGTGCCATTAGCCAGTGTACAACATTAGGCCTAATTCGGTCATTACCTTTAGGAAGATGGGGCTGCCTTGGAGGAGTAAGCTGGGCTCAGCGGGGGATAGAAGATGCTTAGGTGTTGGTGGGGGGAGAGTGGAGCTCAGAGGGCCGGGGGATAAACTGTTTGAGTATGGGTAAAATATAGAAGACAGCACCTGAGACACACACCATTATGTCCGTCCTCGACTTAGGAATTAATCTTGTTGATCGCTGATGTACGCAAACAGTGATAAAAAAAATTAAATCTGCAATAGCAAATTCAAACAATTTGACCCTTTGAAGCAGCAACATTTCAGCAAGAGTAGAAACAAAACACTTGATTTATTGATTATGTGCCATTAAATAAAACACATAGCAGTGCTACCTTTGCCGGAGCACATATATTAAGCTCTCCGGCGCTTTGAATGGCAGCACGCAGCCACACATGTAGCAGCTCCTCGTCGAGGCGTCTGTTTCAATTTCCCTGCTCCCTTACAACAGCCCCCCTGAGACAAGTCATTAGCTGCCTCAGACAGCTGGGGGCACAGGGGTCCTCCATGCACCCCCCTCCCTCCCCTCCTTTCCACCCTGTGCTTCCTCCTCCCTATCCATTCCAGCGTCTGTCCCGCCAGCACAGCTCCGTATGGCGGGTGGAAGACATGAGCTCCAACCTGCCTCCAACGTGACACCCAGCATTTGTTTAATGTCGCTTGAGGTTAAAGGGGAGGGCTGCCCCAAGGGGCCCCGACCGTGTCATAAACACCTCTAATTATCAATTTCTGCCCCTAATGTTGTGGAAAATGACCCTGGCCCATCTCGTTCTGCACCTGAAACCTGCACAGGGAGATGTGCTGCTTGTGTCAGACTTTAGAGAGTCTGCAGGATAAAAGAAAAACTCCAAAACATAATAAAAGAGCCCCACAAACCCAAATGCATACACTACGTCTATTTTCGGTGAAGTGGTTTGCAGCACTAAACTGTGTCTGGCTGCCAAATTAAATTTGTAAAGATGAGAATTATGTGGTTGAAATTAATCCAATCCAGAAAGCACAGAAATCACTGTGGCATTATTAGCGAGCTGTTAGTGTGTATGAGGGCCATCAGGACCAAGCTGGGTAATGAGCTGCACTGGGGATCAGGAGACGCTTTACCACTCAGCCAAGATCACCTGGGCAGCTGAATAGGTATCAGACTAACCTGTGATTACAGCATAATTCACTCCCACCACGGAGATGACGGTTTAAACGCGCGTCAGGAGGAAGGCTGTGGGTGAGACAAAGAGGGCGCTGCTGCTAGCAGCTTCCTGCCTTCACCGGTGCCACACTGAGAGTAAGTGGGGAAGGAAAAAAAATCAAAAAGGGCGAGAGCGCGAGCAGCAGGGGGGAGAGCGAAGGATGGGGAGGGGGGTTCTTTCATTTTTATTCAAGAGGCTCAAGGTAAGGAGCGCCATGATTCCACCGGGCCCCTTGACACGGCAGCCCTGCCTGTCCTCAATCAAAGCCAACGGCTGCAATTAATGGCAAAAATTAGAAACAATCACCGCCTCCCTCTTATTATCCTCAATTACAGCATACTAATCAAGGCCTGATCGTGCTCTGCTGCTCTCTCCAAACTAAATGTCAAACTTCATTACAACCTGGCTTTGAAATCAAACGCCCCACATGCTACCAGCCTCGCATCTGGAGGGCGACGTATAAAACACAGCGCCAATGACACAAGGCGATCTGTGCATTAACTGGTGGAAGCTGCTGTGAAAACTTGCATGAGAAAAACACCTGCAACCGGATTCATTTCCATTTAGCAGAGTTTTCATGGTTTTGTAAAGGATGACTTTCTAAAATTTGTTCTGGTTTCATTTTAGATTATAGTATTAATAAAGACAACATTTTAAATGAATTATATCTATAAGTAACAATTTGTTACTTTTCACTAATTTTTAAAAATGTATTATTTCAGGGTATCCATGAGGTCCTGAGATATATTAAAAGTTGAAGAAACAATTTAAGGAAAATTAAGACCCTTAAAGGGACGTGTGTATTTTCCCTGGCGACAGGGGGCAGTACATAACTAAATCAATGCAAGCAAGCGGTATTTTTGTGTCCGAGTAAAGCCTGAGGCACACCGGAGGCGGACGCGCCGCTCAGCATCGCGCCCGAGATTTTGAGAAGTCAAGTGGTCACACAGGACGCGCCACGGCGCTGAGTGCTTCTTGGTAAATCGCGCGATAGTCACAACATCTCACGGGACGTGAGAACAGAAAGCGGGAAATGACTCTATTGTTTATACGTGATCAGATTTACCGTCGTGTTTTGTGAGACTCAAATTCATTAAAAATGGGTAAGTACGCTATTTGTTTGGATCAATAGTACTTTAAAGTGTTCAAAGCCACGGCTAGGTTTGTTCCGGCAGTTGAGTTTTTGCCGTAATGCCGTTCCGCGTCGTAAAGTCTGTTGTAAAGTAATCCACAATGTCGTAAACAGCCGCCGCACCGCTTGAGATAGAACTGGTGTCTATCTTCAGTGCCTAGGCGCATCACTTCTGGGACGCGGCATGGTGCTCCCTGTGTGCCCACTCTCATTAACTATAATGACTTTTATGTAAAATGATGCCGCGGGTGCAGCGCGGGCAAGACACGGCGCATCCGCGTCCACCCTCGGTGTGCCCCAGGCTTTAGACCTTACCAACGGATGGCCATTAGGGTCAAAAATCCCTGGGAGTGCAATTTTCAGACAAGTGCTTTGTCAGATCATTGAACCTCCAGCAAAATGGCAAGCACATCTGACTCTCTTTCATCAGTCAGTGCATTTACATGTGCATCAGATAACCAAAGTATTGCTCTAAAACAACTCACATCGTGCTTATTATATGCTTGTAAACGCGTTCGTCTGGCTGACTGCATCTAATCCAGCTGAAGCACTCAGGTAATGCGGTAGCAATCCGAATACACTGCATGTAAACGAGTTAGCCAAACTGAACTGGTTGGATGCTCGTGTTCCGGAAATAACCAGATCACGGAAGCGGTCTTCTGACAAGACCATAGTCACAAAGCAACAGGCATAACTTCATAAAACAGGACAATACGTACCAAATAAGCTGCTCCACAGCGTTGATGTTGTGCATTCCTTCAGCCATTGTGTATATCCTGTTTTAATTCTGTCTGCTTGACTCCCGCCAGACTCTGTTTACTGCTTATGTTGCTATAAGCTAACCAGAAGAATGCCGACATGAAAAGGAACATGTCGCCACCAACTGTACCGGAGTGGAACAAACTTTATTTGAGAGGCTGGTTTTCTAAGGCACATGTAAACTAGGATAAAGCTCCCAACTTATTACAATAAGATCAGCATGGATAGTCTTAGATGTCGGTCAGTGCACATGCAACTTCTGACTGGCAACGAGTGAAGAAGGTTTTGGTACTGGCATACAAGGCCTTACAAGGAACTGCTCCAGCATATCTTGGCAACCTTTTGCATAGGCATGCCCCCTCGCGGGCCCTTCGCTCAGCCGGCAGGGAGCTGTTGATCGTTCCACGCACTGAGTGCAGGTCACAGGGGGACCGTGCGTTCTCGGTGTTGGCACCTGCACTTTGGAACCAGTTGCCTTTGGTGGTGCGTCAGTCACCCTCATTGGGGGTTTTTAAGATTCACCTTAAGACCCATTTTTTTCTCAAGGCATTCCAGGATTAGCAAATTTTACCCGGTTTCGATGCCCCGGCCTCTTAATCTTTTTCAGGATTTTATTTTTTGCTTTTACTCTCCTCTTTTAATTGCTTTTATGTTGGTTTTAGGATTGTTATATTTTATTCTGATGGTTTTATGTTTTTATTGTGTTGTGTTCAGCACCTTGGGCGTCTGCATTGGTCGCAGAAGGGGCTTTATAAATAAATGAAATGAAGAAGTAAATGTGTAAAACAATGTTTATAAATGGCGAAAGTGTTGTAACCGCTTGTTACAAATCAGCAAATGCGTTTAGTCCTCACAGGCTCCAGTGGAAGGAACCATCGTGTCTAATTTGGCATTGCCCAGAGACTTAGACCTACGCCGATATAATTTAGACCCAATTTTTAAGATTATATGTTATGAGGCCGCCAATATTTTTTAACAACTGGGATTCATTTAATTAATTTTCAACATTTTGACAGCTATTTCCAGAGATTAATGGTAAAAACTACACATTGTCCCTTTAAAAAGATGGAAAAATTCTTGAGAAGGTATTAAATTTATTTATCAGATACCTGAATATATCCTTTATTTGCTTATACTATAAAAATCATAAAAAGTGGGTAAAAGGTCACTTAGAATTAAACTTTTATTATTTACAATAAAAGCAACAGTTTTTTTTCACATTTCTAAATGAAAGAAATTTCAGTCGAACCATTAAACTATTTAGTTTAAGGCAATTAATTTCAGCTGTCATTTTGTAAGGCTAGTAAAATACAAGCAAGACTTTACTTAAACTTTGAGCGTGACTTACTTTCTATCATCAGTAACCATATCACAGCACTCAAATGACTGTTTAAGACTCCTGCTTTTAATCCTGCATCAAAGATTGAGGCGTACGATGAAGAGCAGCTTTTAAAAAAGCATTCTCTGCATTAAAGAATGGGCCTCTTTATGACTGGGAGCAATAAAAAAAATTGGGCCGGGATTTAATCAAAAAGCGGTGCTCAATATTCAAGAGATGCTCCTACCCCTTTGCTCCATGCCTTTGCTCAGTGGGTATACAAATGAGAACATTCTTTAAATAATATGGAAATAGTTACCTGGCTAAAATGCATTCATTCTCCTGCGCATCATCAATCTGCTGTTTTTGCATCACATTTTAGGTTATAACCTGCAACCTTCACCAAGGATAATGGAGTGATTGGGCTTGGTTCAAGTCAATTCAGATGGCAAAACATGAGCACCCTTCACTGTGCAACACCCTCTATTGATTATTGAAGACACATTCAGATGAAAGATATGAAGGATGCATTTCAATCAAGTCAATTTTTCTGATAGTCCGGACACATTTTACACTAAAGGTGCACTGTTAAATAGGAACGTAATGATTTGCATCAATTATATGGTCATCCACCCATAATGCAACAGAATAACTATTTATCAAACACAGTTTTATTTAGAAAATTGTTTTACTTTGAAGTTTTGCTGAAGTTCCATTTTTCACCTTTTCCTCCACGTCACCATTTCTCTGAGGGCACCATCCAGAGGCGGAGGAACTGCACCGTAAGCCCCTCTCCCTACTTCCGTGATTACGACCGGAAGCAAGTGTGCACCTCTGAGAGAGCATCGATGCATATTTTTTTCGAAAGGCTAACTTTGCACCAGTGTAGGTACTTATGCAAATGTGTGTGTGCACGCTCTGTGACCGACATCTGCATGTAAGCAAATAACTAAAGCTATCGGCTAAAGCTGAATGGCCTTCAATTCACATTGCATGGGGCTCTACAGGATGAGGAGCGGGCTTAGCAAAAAAGTTGATATAATGTAGGCAATACATCCCAATACAATACATGTAGTACATTTTATCACTTTTACAAATTTCTAAGAAATCATACGTAATTCTTGAAGGGGGAAAATGGCTTTAAATGAAGATGTTAGTGGTGTCATGGCGAGCAGTGAGAAAAAAAGTAAAGAAACTGTCACTCCCCTTAGAAAAGATTGTGTTTAATCCCTTTTTATATTGTTTTATATTGATCTGGGGATCCTAAATCAAAATCAAAATGGTATTAGGACGAAATGTGAGAGATCGGCAAACACTGAATCCACTATATCAATAAAACATTCATGATCAATAGATTCACACCCCCTACTCTTTAATTCTGATTGGCATTTGGAAAGAAGAGTAAAAAAACAAAGTTTTTAAGCCACAAACAGGATTTTCTCACTGTAAAAGTCTCTAAACTGTTCATATCAGCTATGTACTGATTACAGAAATCTATCATTCCACGTTTCCACCATCGTTTTCAGCTCATTTGCCTCATTCAAGCTCATTTGTGGTTACCTTAAAAGTAGCATGGAAATAATTGAAGAAAATAGAATAATGGAGCAAATTGTGAATGTGATTTAGTAGAAGACCGGATGCTGGTAAATGAGCTATGGTAATAATAGTGAGGGTTTTTCAGTTTAACAAATATGAATGAAGGAAATTCTGCCCTCCTAATTCCCAGTTCGGGAAGTCCTCTGCAGTTTCGGATCTCCGTGTTTGGGGAAACATCCGACTATAGAGATTTTCTGACACGAGAACAGTTTGTAGAAAAAGTCCACATGCAAACAGCCACACACACACATGCTCATTTATTTGAGGACCCCACGAATCTAAGTAATTCGGCTTTAGGCATGCTGCTGATGGGAGGCGAGGGGGGTGGGGGTGGGGGGTGGGGTGATGGAAGTGCCTGCGTCCAGGCAGAATTGATCGTTCGGCAGCTCCAAATGAGAGTCAGGCTTGTCTGCGGAACCACGAGGGCCGTGCAGTTGGACTCCAGCAGTGCTCGTAAAGTGCGCTCTTTAAACTGCTGGGGCCCCTGGGAGCCCACGGGGAGGGGGGGAGCCGCCGCCGCGCTAATGAGAACTACCAGAGTGCAAACATGCATGGAAATGACTGTTATTCTGTTGATGTGCATTTAAGTGCTTTTTTACTGCCAACCACAAAGAGAGGGAAATAACTGGTGATGAATGGTACTCCCGAAAAGCATTCATTTTCCTCCTCGGAAGAAAGGAGACAAAAACAGGGGGGGGGGCAGAGAGGAAGATGGAAGGTAAAGACAGGATGGATTGGGGGGGGGGGGGGGGGGTGTAAGATAAGATATGGTGAATACATTATCGTACTTCACACAACTACAGTGACATGAAGGCAGTAAAGAGATGCATCAATGGAGGAAAGTTAACCTTCACTGTCACCAACCCCCCACCTCTGAACACGCTGCTTTTATGAAAGAGCAGCAGCCAAAAAGGTCACAGCGATCACAGTCCTGATCACCTAATCATGAAAACGAAGCTCGTTTCACTCACCCCCAAAATAAAGGTGCAAAAATTACCCTCCGGATCTCCTGTGTTTGTTGAACATTTCACATTTGAGTAAAATTGTAAATTTCAATGAGGGTGTGGGTTGCTTACGTGCTACGCTGCTTGTACTGGTGTTGATGGCTTCATTCCACTGGTCGGCGCTGGACACGGAGAAGGAACGCTGGTGCATGCCGTCCTTGCTGCCGCCAAATGCCGACCCGCCCATCTGCAGAGAAATGCTGCTGTTGGAGTGAGTCGCACCTGGAGGAGGAAAAAAAATCACACTTAGTTTTTTATTCATTTGAGCAAAGACACAATCTCCAAAGTAACTGAAAAATCCAAACTGTCTGTAATGAAGCAGCAATTATTCAGTAGAGTGTTATGCGGTTGATGCTGCAGCTAGCTTACTTGTGAACATATCTATGATAACCAGTCTCACACACACACACACACACACACACACACACACACACACACACACACACACACACACACACCCTTCTCCCTCCATCTCTGCCTCTAATTAGCCCTTAATTAACAAGATACACTCTGAACGCTAATTATCTTTCTTCATTCCTCTGACTGCCACATCGATCTCCACTGGCGTCAGCGGGCGTTCTCTCCCTAACTTCCAATCAGGCGAGCTGTGGACGCCTGGCTCTCTTTACTAATTCATGGGCAAGGCAGCGCCATGTGAGGTCCTCTCCCTCCTGTTCGTGAGCGGCTGCTTCAACTACTCTAAGAAATTCACCCCAATCACATGAGAGGATGCAGATTAATGGCTAAAAGATGCTACGGTATTAATGGGATTGCGTCATGCAATACGAAATAAAAAGGGTTTTATATTGGTTTTGAGATTCACACACACAGTCTAAAATAGCTCAAGCGAACATTGATTTGACACCAAAAGCTGAAAATTTAACACGTATTGTTTTGGAAAACATTCCATTTTCCTGATTTTTCCCAACAATGTTCCGTTACCACACAGGTACCACACATCAAGCTCCTTTTATTCAGTAATTACACGAGAATATCCGTTTTTGATTGAGGTGACAATAACAGAAAATATAGTGTGAGGCTGGTGTGTAAAATAAACTAAGCGGCACGGGTGCTTGTTAGGATAATATGTCCTACTCATTATCTAGAGTAATAAGTGTATCAAATTCACATAATCATGTCTAATTAGTACCAGTAATTATCTTGTTGGGCCCAGGAATATTAATCTTCAGGTCCCAGAGGGGAGGGAGCAGAATCGCAGCAAGAATGGGAGACAGAGCGAGGGAATCACGCTGAGGAGGACCGACTAAATTAGCATGCTGAAATCAGAGCAGAGGAGGAGGGGGGACTCAGTGGAAGGATTAAAAAGAAAACGTGAAACTTTGCTTTTGAAAATGTGATGGAAGAACAACACATTAAGTAACGCTTCTGTTAGAATAACGACTAATAGCTCTAAAAGGGGATTGTAGAAGGCAGCAAAGAGACTTTTACTAATGAAGAATGGTGTGTGTGTGTGTGTGTGTGTGTGTGTGTGTGTGTGTGTGTGTAACAAAATTCAGTCGTAAAAGATTTACCGGTACTATTTTTTAAATCATGCTACAAAATAAGATTCTTATCACTTAAAAAAAAAACTAAGAAGAAAAAAAAGACACTAGACAAACTGCACGACAACTTTGATACTTAAAATTCAACAATCATGTCTAATTGTCAAATTGGATGCTAATGATTAATGAATTATACATGTCTGTATCCATTAGTCCCCAGAGACCACTCCTGCATAAAGGGGAGGATAATGTAATTACAGTGTGGAAATAATCAGCTTGTGGCATTAAAATAGAAGCGAACCCACAACTTCAGCCAGGTCTGAGTCCAGACCGCCTCACACTTTCAACAGAGCGAAGGCAACGATGACCAAAACAACGGTAAAGTGAAGCTAAAGAGACATAACGTCCCACTGAGGGGCTCCAGACCGGCAAACCATTCAATACATTTTAGATTTCTCTTTTCTGAAGAATAAAAAAGGTTTTACAAGCTCAACTTAAACCCTAAAAACTCAGAGGAGGAAATCAGCACTTTTAAAATGACAAATACATGTATTACTTTATCTGTGTAAAAGGTTTTCTTTAAAAGCACTTATTAAACTTTGGATTTATTAATAGAGTTGCTCACAGGTTTGTGTTTGCAGCTGATGATGCTTCCTGCTGAAAAAACAAACATGATTTTAAATGTTCTTAGAGCAGATTGCACCAACAAGGTTTAACTTTAAATTCAGATTAAATCATGGTTTAAAGAGGAAGTCACCCCCTACCAGATCTTACTCAACTCCCACTTCCTGTTTGAAAAATGCAACAAATGCTGTTGCCTAGCAGACCGAGAGGGCGGAGCAGCTAACAAATACACACACAGGCTCCCAACGACATTGTGACATCATATGGTACCAGCTAACGTCCTAGGGTACCTTTTAGCCAATAGCAATGGCAGATTTAAATTCAAATGCAGTGCAGAGTTTTTACCTGACAATGGCACAACACTGACAGTTTTAGGCAGACAATTTTAACTAAAATGCACTAAAGTGCAAAACTATTGACTACACGTGTCTGCAGCACGATTAGACACACATTTATTTAATTTATCAGAAAAAAAGTTGATTTGGGGGTGACTTGCTCTTGAAGTTTAAATTTTGTTGCACCAAACTTAAAACCAACTTTAAAATTAAAACGGATTAAGTTTAAACCTCTCTTTTAAACAGTTTAATTTTCACACTTAACTAAGTTTAAATTTGAACCTGCAACAGAACTTTAAACCTCAATTTAAACTTTGATCTAGGATTAATTTAAAACCATCTAATGAGGGGGTTTAACTGTGTTTTTGATGTAAATCCAACAAAATGATGATGCTGTCTGGATCGCTGCCTGTAATGCACATAACACACAAGCTTGCAATATGCTTGCTCCGTTTGTGCGAGCATCAGGACAGCAGATGCCCTGATGAGCTGCATGACGGATTGCTCATTTAGATATTACGCACGTCATGACCGGCAATCACTGAGCGGGCTAGTTTAAATGCCAGGCCACCGGGAAATCTCCCGTTTCTCCCGATTACCAGTCCGCCACTGAAAAGATGTGTGTTAACTTAGGAAAAGTGGATGCAATTTTAATTACTTGTCAAAACCCCTTTAGATAAGATTTTATGATCATCTGCTCGTCTGAAGAAGCTTTTAAAAATGTTTATTTTTGGAAACTTTGAATTTTAGCTGTTTTGTCATCCAAATCTTTGCATGAATTCAGCAGAATCAGATGAATAATTGAGGTGATTTGGGCTGCTAGTGAAATCTTCAAATGGAAATTAATTCATTTGAATTATTATAAAAGTACTGTTTGCATACCTGCTGATTATATCTTTACCAGATTTAGTATAGCCACATCTTTAAATAGCTAATTTTCACAGCGTTTCCTCAGATATGTTGTGTTCTTTTGAATATTCCAGAGGGGATTCCTGGATTGTGGAGGAGTGAAGTGTCACCAACAGGAAAATGTCGTCACTGGAAGAGGTGGGTTGATTTCACTTGTAGAGCAGAGATTTTGGTCCAAAATGTTGCTTTGGATAAACATGTTTGCTAAATGCATAAACAACATGAAATCTGATTGCTATAGGAAACATTTGAAAAAAGTGTAACCTGTAATAAAACGTACCTTTAAATGTGATGTCTGGTACAAAACTATTATGTAAATGTATTATGATAGAAGTTAGTTCATCTGCTTACATTTTTCCAAAAGTTAACATGAGTTTGTGAGAGAAAACATATTGAAGCATCTGTATTAAAAGTTTTTATATTTACCTTGTCTTTATTTCAGCCTACCAAAAAGACAAAGAAGCGCTACTGCTGTGGCCATTGTGACGAGAGCTTTGATTTACCATCAAAGTTAAAACGTCACCAGCGGATCCACAGCGGAGAAAAGCCATTTCCCTGTGACCAGTGTGGGAAATGCTTTTCTGCGTCGGGGAGTCTGAAACGTCACCAGCGGACCCACACAAGAGAGCAGCAGAAACATGTGACCAGTTCAGACAGTACTAGTGTCACCATCAACATGTTTACCATGGACCAGATAATTCACTTTAATAGGTCAAACTTTAAAGCCCATTCATTAATATAAATCTGAATTTAACTCAATGTGTGAAGTTTTCGTTTAAATGCAAATACACACCAAGCTTTTGATCCTTGAGTTGTAAAAAATAAATAAATAAATAAAACTTCTGCATCATCTGAATATCAGTTTTGAAAGAGGACAGCTCTCAGTAATGACAATACTCTCCACTGTTTAAAGAGACAATGTGTAGTTTTTACTAATGATCTCGGGAAAAATCCATCTAAATGTTGAAAATCAACAAATTGACGCCCAGTTGTAAAAAAATATTGGTGGCTTTGTAACATATAACCATAAAAATCGGGTATAAAATTTACTGATTTTTAACAAATACTTAAAAAAACTTTCAACATTCACAAATGTTTTACACATTTATCTCAATATATTTTTAAAAACACCCTTAGATAACTGGATGAAGTTATTTGCTTTATCTGATATGTTTTGCAAAGTCAAAGGAATCAAATCAGACCATAAAATGTTTGTAAATTCCAACTTTACAAAACCTATTCATACTTTAAGGACAGAAAGACCTTGATTTAAAGCTGAACGGAGTAATTTATTAATGAGTTTTTCTTTTAAAAAGTGTATTTGAATAAGAATTTCAGAATAATTGTCCCTTTAAATTAGCTTTTATAAGTTTGAAATTTGGAAAATTCACACTATTTTAACCCTTCAGGTGTGCTATGCACTAAAAATAACTGTCTTTTTTTTTACATAATATTTAGGAAAAATTGTGCTACATGCAAAAAATATGACAATTAATTATCTCATTCATAATCATCAGCAATAGTTGAACAAGCAATTCATTAGTTTTGATCTCTCTTTATGAAAGCCGCCATGCTGACCAGAACTGAGAAGACATGAATTTTAATGAGACCTTCTTGACAAAACAAAAGTACACAAAAAATTGAAATTTTTTAATTGCCACAATGCATATACCTCCTAATGAATATCTTAGAACCCTTTTGCAAACAATACTGTAACCATGTTCCTTTTAAGGACTTTGCATATTTAACTTGTTCATTTACTTTTCCCAACACTAATGAATTCTTCAAATCACCGAATGTTACTGCGAACTGCACTGTCATGCATATAAAGAGATAACAAAAGCCATATAGT